CTTTATACCAATTGATTCGTCTCATTATTTTATGCATAAAAGTATTAAGGTAAGATTCCCAAAAATTGAATGTTTTACAAGATATTTTGTATTTTATGTCAAAATACTGTAATTTACAAGCCTCATAACTCAAAAAGTACTTAATGAAAAATAACTTCATTATAGTGTTTTGAAAAGCTCTTGACACCAGCTATTAGATTTTGGAATCAAAAATAGGAGTTTCTATTTAAAAAAATAACTATGACCTTCAAATGACCTTGAAAATCAACTGCGAGATCAAAGTCAAGGTCACCCTCAGTTGGCCCCCTTTTAATCGTACAACGTTTGTTAAGGTCATTTTTTTGTACAAGCACATCCCTACGTTTTAAAAGGGTGGGACGAGTGATCTGAAACACCCGGTATATGACGCTACCTATAATATTGTTGCACATATTTTCTTTAAATGTAATTTATCATCATAGCATAAACATATAAAATAACAGGTCTGTTCTTTTCAGCTGAACTGGCTGCACTAGTTCAGAATTTATCTTTTTTCCTTCACATTAAAAGGAGAACATATAGCCAATAAAATTGCTGCTTATCCATAAAAACTGCAAGTTGATTGGTTATACATTTCTTGGATCGAGATCTCGGACCGATTTCTAGCATCGTGAACATTGGTCTTAAAAGTCAGATATAGTTGAGCTAATCCATAAAGTAGGATAAGGAGAGCGAACTTCGTGCTCAGAGAGTAGCAAAAGTGGACCCGAATTTCGTCGTAAAAACAAATTCGGTATTTGGCCACTCGCGTCGCATGAAACGTTAATACTACCTTTTCCACGGTGTAAGAATATAAGGTGATTTCACGACCATTGTATTCTATCAAAAAATCTGTGATCAAGATGTCATAGTTAAGGCATGTCACACAAGGAGCTTGTTCGTTTTATAGCGTTTTCGATTATACAGGATTTGAACGACCCAGGGTTGGTTAATGACGTCATTGCAACCTCTCCACCAATGAAAGACTTGCATTTATAGTAAAATAAGTGATTGATCAACCCTGGTCGTTCAAATCCTGTATAATACGAAACG